CCAATATACTCTAGTAGTTTCCATTCTCTTTTCCATTAAAGGTGGAGGGCAGCAACAAGGGCACTACCAGTGGGACATGGGTGGACGCGAGTTGCGGGGAGCACCACGGAGGGTAAAAGGCCATAGCCGGGTGGAAGGTTGAGGCGGCTTTGCGTATCTTACTTTCTGATACTATGTCCCTTCATGCCCCTCTTCAGCACCAAAGCAGTGATGTCGTCAGACTGTCTTGATGAGCCGCAGTGTGCAGACAGAAGGAGCTTGCTACAAAGCTGGACATGCACGCTCCCCTTCCCAGTGGAGGGAGGGCAGAGGTTGCTTTGCGTGCTGCAGCTACTGCTGCTTTGGAAGACATTGCTTCGACCCTCGCTTGCACTTCTAGTCCAGTAGTGATGTCATGGAGTGGCTCACACACTAGCGCAAACCAGTTTTGCCTCTAACGCCTAGAGTTTCCTGGCATGATTTTTACGGAGCCTCCCAGGATCGGAAAGCTGAAGGGGTACGATGTTTCACCATTGACTCTCGGAAATTATCTTTGGGCTTGCTTGGGACACATTGACAAGCCGCTTTGTTTCGCGCGCCATATCACGAAAGACACCACATATTATTGACCACAGACAAGTATGTGGCAACAGCTTTTGACTTGACCTAAAATGGGACAAGTCTCCTACTCTTGCGTGCTGGCCTGCGGTCAAAACAGGGACGCGCACTCTCGGGGCCTCATTTTGAGGAGAGCTGCAAACAAAAACGATCAGTGGTTTTTCTCGTGATGTGATCTCTGAAGTTGAAAGATGGCTTCTGTGGCACGATAGCTCTCCGCGTTTGCGGCAATACTTACCTGCACCATGAAAGCATTCTGAGGAGAGATGCCTCTCATTGATGGCAACAAACGGGTTTTTTGTTGATCGAGGCTCCTCTGCTTTCGCCTTCTGCTGAAGGCACGAACACCGATTTTGCGTCGTCAGACCTGCCTTGATAAGAAGCTTGGGCATCATGCTTCAGCATGCTTCAGCCTTTGCAATTTTTCTAGAGAGCCTGAAAGCTTGTCCTCATATTGACGCAGCCCTGAGGGTCAAGCCCTGTGGGCCATTAGTTGCGAGTGCAAACTTAGAAGGGGTGGTGTCCTGGGTTCGAGAAGCGGGTGCGCCACCCAGGTTTAAAAGCGCACTCTTCTTTCGCACGATCAAGCTTGAGATTCATTCGGCCAAGGCTCCTTTCAAATCAGCGACGCATGCCAGTCAGAAGTGGTGGCGATGAACCATCCGGCGAATTTGAGACTGTTCTCGATGCCTGGCACAACTTTGCATGAAATCTGGTAACTTCTGCGGCTGATCTTCTTGAGCCCGGCTCTTCCTAGGATGAGGTGCCTTCCGAAAAGGCCGACCGACATTTTCGAGTCAGTTCGTGCTCGTTCTTTGGGTGCGACCTTGTGCCAGGCACTGGAGCAAAGGAGTCTGCCCGGAATAGGGCAGTTGCTCCACCAGGCTGGGGATGATAGGGCAGGGAATCGTAACTTCACGTTGCAGACAGCGCAAAGATTCCGGGATTCGCCTGCAGGTTGATAGCCTCCAGCAAGTTGTGGTTGCCACGTGCGAGTCCATGACGTGACTTGTCTCATCTTGGACCGCGTGCAATTGCTTCAAGCCAGACATTCGCTGTGACTACAGCGTCAGCACTTATGAGCAACCAGCAGGTCTACTGAGAAAGCATATCCAAGGCTACTTGTGTACAAGCAAGTTGAAGCGTTGAAGGACTACGAGAAGGACCGGTTGTCTCAATGCTTTGACATTGAGTTGGGGCCATGGGGCATCAAGTCAGGAAGCTGCGAATTTGCAGCGCGAGAACAAAGACCTTCGCTTCAGATTGGCTGAGTGGGAAGGCTCACTGCCTCATTGGTGCAAACGAGAAAATCTGCATTGCGGGCACGAGCCCTGGCGTTCTGTGAAGGCAGATCAGTGCCTGGGAGAGTAAGCGAAAGAGAAAACGGTCCGGATCGTGCAGCAGGCAGGACGTGCAATAAAGTCAAAGCTATGATGGGGCGCGCGTGCCACGAGGTGCCGGGTCAGGGCCGCATCTTTCGACGAGTGTCAACCGAGAGGCCCCTACGCTTCTTGCATATCGCCACCACCTGTCAGAGCTGTGACTGACAGCCCATCACTCTTCCTCACGCGTGAGATTTTGCTTCCTGGCTTCTGAATGTAAACGCAGGCGTGGGGTGGTGACATTGACAACGATTTGGTGCTGGTCTTGGCTGCTCCATTGGGTTGCATTGAAGTTGTATAGCATCTCTCTCAGAGATGCTGTGCCACAATTCGTTTCTACTTAGGGACGTGGTTCCCAGTCGTTGGGCTTGGCAGCAGTGGTGAGGGGCCAAGTCTTCCCAAGACAAGGTGCATCATAAATGGCAAGCAGGTTTGCCACATGCATGTCTGTAACATTAGCTGGCCCTGCAACTTCCGCAGCACTGCCTTCACCTGACCTCAAGCTGTTAGGCCACATTCATTTGACGCGTGTAGCGCATCTTTTCGCGGAAGCAACATAAGGTTCCAACTCCGTCTCCATCACAGATGAGAAGCAGTGGTGGTGGCGGTATTTCTGCCCAGCCATCGCATGAAGAGGATGAGCTTGCAAAAGTTCAGTTTGCAGCTCGGGAGGCCGCATGACTGTACTGGGATGTAATGGGTAACCGTTCGCCTCGCACGCCCGCGTAATTATATTTCCGGTGAGCCAGCAGTGTACCGCACCAGTTGTAACGGAGAAGCGTGGATCAGTTTGAAGCCACACGACTTGCTTTCATGTAGCAAACGTGGCCTCAACCGTAGGCTGCTGTTTTCGTTGATGCTGACGCATTGAAGCGGCAGCTCAAGCAGAACCTGAGCAACACTGGCCGCAAGATTCCTGATGTCTGCTAGCGGCTGCTAGCACAAACTACTCTCACACACGCAGGAGCACGTGTGCCGAGCCTAGGCAAAGAGACATATGATGTGTCCATGTACTACAAGGAGACTGGAGTGTGGCAGAGGACCACATGCATCAGCCTTGTGGCTTTTGATGGGGCTGCAACTGACATTGGGCTGGTGCAGGATGGCTCGCTCCAGCTGCTTTGAGCACCTGACCCTGCTGATGATAGCTCTCAACTCCGTCTGGATTTGGATTGACACAGTGCCCGGATGCAGTAAGCATGGAGACATCTCTGGTTCTTCGTCAGAACCCATATGCTAGCAGAACGTGTAGAAATTCTGAAAGGACAACAACGATGCCAACACGCTGCTTGATGCGGAGCCTGTCTTCGTCGTGGTTGAAAACGTCTTTTGCGTGTATTTCTTTTCAGAGCTGTTGATTCGGTTTGCGGCCTTCCGGGTGAAGAGAAATTGCCTTCGAGATGGTTGGTTCGTATTTGACTCAATCCTGGTCGCGCTTATGGCTCCCTGTCTGCATACGTAGCGATAAATTGCACGGCGTTTGGTGCTGTTGGATGTTCCTCCATGACTCAATGAGATCCCGCACTTCTGCGCCTCCAAGGTTTTCGAAACATGGCTTCTCACTATAGCAGTCGTGCCTTTGATGCACTGGTTTTTGCAGAGCGTTTGGTAAGAGTCCCTTGCAGGTCAAAGGCATGACGCCTAATATCAAAAACGCGTCAAGGCACAGCAATTAGGCACTCCTTTGTCCCATGTTCCTTCTCAAGGCTGCGATGGGCTCCGGAGCCATGAGCAGCCCGGGTTTCCTACGAGTGCTGCGCCTTTTCCGACTGACGCGTATGGCACGCATGGCACGACTTCTACGAGCCTGTCCAGAGCTTTTCGTATCTCGCCTAAGCTGGAGGAATATTGTATCAGCGAGGGCATGAGACTGACTGCTGATGTATTTGCCGAGACGGTCACTCAGTTACCAAGTGTGTGTGCACATGGCTATAGTTGATTCTGCTCAGGTAATGCTCAAGGCCATCGGCGTGGCGCTGCGGTCTGTGATGTTTGCTCTGTTGCTTCTCCTCGGCGTGGTTTACGTTTTTGCTATTGCGGCTCGACCGACACTAGAGTCATTAGAGTCCGAAGGGGTGCTGTTAGTGATGCAGTCACTTGGAAGGCTAGCCGGGGCCCAGTCTGGCTGGGTCTAGCTTTGTATGATATTTTATGGCAAGCAGGTTTGACAGGAAAAACACATTTTGTCCCATGATGCTGGCCTTCAAGCCATCTCAGTTCTTCACACAGCTCCTGGATGGCAAGAACATGGACCCGGGCACCATACAACGCGACCAATTCGGATCTGTAGCTGCCGCTGAGCCGCATAGCGTTTCTGGGGAATCATATGGTTTCTTCTCCAACAAATTACGGGCTCCGTTCGGTTGCAAATTATACTACAGTACTTAATATATAGGGGTACCAGAAAGGGACCCTGTTTTTGGAAACTGCCGCTACCATATATCTATTGTCCATGTGAGCACGTCTGCGAGCAGGCGAGCAACAATCCAATGAATAACACATGACTCATACCACGTGCCAGGAGTCTATGAACACCCTGCTTCTTAGCGGGGCCTTGCCGGACCAAGCAGGCCAACTGGGGCTGAACCATGTTGAACTTGAGTCCTGACACAATGCCGTCGTAGGCCTTGGACACTAGGTTGCCCGGAAATGTGGGTGAGCAAAGAAAGGAACTCCCACCCATGGGGATATTCCTGCGTACTTTACAAGCTTCTGACTTTGTAAACCTTTGCCCTCAGCCCGCTGTTTGCAGATTTGGTCAACCAGCTCCGGGGCCTTCCAGAGTTCGGCGGAATCTATTACTTCATGATTCTGCATCTTGGAAGCCTTTGGCTCCAGCATAATGGAGAATCAAATGGAAAAGAAAATGGAAAATGAAATGGAAACTAGGGAATATATAGGGATTATTAGAGTTTCTACTGCGTTGCATCTCAGGACATATCTCTTGCTGGCGTCGCTGACAGATGCTTGCTTGCAGTGAGGGCTTGTCATCTGTTTGTGACTTTGAGCTTGGAAATGAACCATGGGCCTCTGAGGTCATGAACATGCTTATCGGTATTCTCTGTGAAGTCATCAGCGTTGTGTCTCATGTTCCGTCCCAAGACTTTTGCCATATGGTTTTGCATGTTTCTGCCATGTTTTTTAAGTGCGCAGCCTTGAAACTCGGCTGATGCAGGTGGAGAGCGAGGAAATGAAGTCTCCTGGCGCCAGTCAGTGAACTGGGAACAGTGTGAGCGTGTATTGGCTGATGGGGCGTTCATGAATCACTTTGTTTTTAGGCTTAGCGCCGTCAAGTTTTCCCTGCAGCGCATCTTAGAGGAGACCGAAGCGGCCACCTGACGAGCATTCAGAACCTTTGGCACGGCTGCTCAATGCAGCTATTGCGCAGCTTAGGATGAAGATGGTGACAAGAAGCTGAGTTACATGGCCTGCATGAGCAGCGGTGGATGTTCCAGACAAGGGAGTTGCGATGCTAGATGGAGAGGGAGTTGTGGGGAGGAAGAGAGAGTGTATGAAGTCCTTCAAGACCACGAGAGAGTGGGAAACGTGTCACTAAGATCGCGCTGAGCTGGAGATGCTACTCAAAAACCCTAAAGCCGTGCGCACGCTGGCGGATGTGGGAGTGGACGCTTCTGGAGCCGCATTTTACTCCTTGAAGTCTTCAGAAGGTTTCTGAGATTTAGTAACTTAGTAGGTCCTAAAGGGCCAATGGCCGTTGTATCTACCGTTTTGGATGACCCCCGCAGACATCCAAGTTGCTGGCTTTGGTTGATTTGATGGACTTCATCTTCGAGCAGAATGAGGCGCGTGCCAGAAGTCTGGCTGGCCTCCACAGACAGACGATGATCATTTGCTGTAAGCAGGACCTCACTTTCCCCGAGTTCATGGACATTGTCTTGGACTTGAGAGGAGACAATGCAGCAACAGTGACTCGCCGACGTTCATTCTAGGGCTCCTGCATCTCCAGTCTTTGTGTTCCGCACTTGCCGAGCTCTGCACCGCTTGCTGAATGTGCTGCTGGGCAGGTAAAGGATATAGTCGACCTCAGACGATTTGTCAGAAGCCCAGACCCAGCAGGATTTGAAGGCGTGAACTGAATTTGTCAGTCTGCGCGCAAAAGACGACCAAGGTGAGTTCACAGACAAAGAAGGTCGAGAGGATTTACAAGGCTCGCGATCATGGCAAAAGCAGAAACGGGCGACGGGCAGTCTTGTTCATCTCTGCTGTTTGATCAATGTTTGCAGGAGGCTTTCAGATCACCTTCGATAATGAAACCGCCCTCGGTGCCAACTCCCACGCTCGCAGAAATTGGAACCAAGACATGCTGAGCACTGTGAAAGTAGGGCAGAGTCTTACGCTCGACAGGCAGGGCGGAAAACAGACAGCTCGGTTGACACAGAGCTCTCGCTAGAGTTTGAGCTGACCGGCCAGGGAATAGTGCACCTCATGACATACAAATGGTTCTGTTGTGGCCGGTCGCCGACCGTCTCACTGAAGGTGCCGCGAAGCGACAGTAAACCTGCCTATATCAACCTGGCTCCATTCTGTCATTTGTCTTCGAACATATCTTCAAGAACGTTTCAAGGACATGTGGAGCCGACACTTTCCATTTTGATGTTTAGTGCAAGTAGCGTCACAAAGAGGGGAGCAGCTGAAAGTTGCGCTCCGCTAGGATCTTTTTTCCCGGTTTCTGAACCGGGGTGGGGATTCTGTTCCTTCAGCGCAAGTGCGGTTGGGGCGGTTTTCCTCAGGATGCTTACAGCTTTTGATGTGGCCTCTTATCAGTAGCAAAAGCAGGCCAACACTAGTCAGTCGTTGTATGCAATGCCACATCCTTTTGGCCTGGAACTTGATGCCGTGTTTAACGAGGATCTGAGGTGTGCTTTAAACCTGGAAAAGCCAACAGCTATCAGCCATGGAGGCCGTACAATCATGCTGCTGCGAATCGCATCTCAGGTCTGTGAACACTTTGTCGGAATGCTAGAATTGCTACTTGCAGCCTGCTGCACAGAGCTTTCAGTTGTCAAGCTGTTGCCAACAGACAGGTGGTAGTGCTGAAAGAGCCCTAATCACCAGTAGGAGTTTCTAAGAGTCCTTGGAGTCCTGTCGGTTGGCCAAACTAGCAAGGTCACGCGCAGGCCCTCAGTGCCAGATGATGCCAGAAGAGCTAACAAAGGCTCAGGGCCAAGTGTCGGTTGGTGTCTGCGTTTGTGCTTAGCATCCGTCTCATGGATAGCATGAGGATTACTGCCGCATGCTCACCCATAATTTTACTTCTGAGACATGCTAAGCATCTGAAACAAGCTTTTTGCCCACTGATAGACCAATCACGTGCTGTTGCCATGCCGAAGTGCATGTGCTGAAAAAAGGGGCGCAACGTCAAACGGACTGACAGAGCACCATTGGCCTTGCTCTGATCTCTGAAGGTTGCGGTTCAGGGTTTAGGGGTTTAGGGTTTAGGGTCACATGGGAATTTATCACCTCAGCAACGGAAAATCAGATGGAAATGAAATGGACGCTACCATTAGACCCTAGAGAGAGCTATATGAGTTAGATAGGCCATAGCTTGGGACCCTCCGATTCCATTTTATTTCCCATGATCCCAACAGAACCCCAAGATAATCCAACATAGCCCCAACATAGCCCCAACATAACCCCAATATAACCCCAACATAACCATATTGGTGTTCAGGCTGACTTCATTGCGCCTCCAAGATCCGTGCCAGGCAGGGCAAGCATGAAGTGTATACATTTGGGGGCTTAGGGTTTAGGATGAGAATCAAATTGAAAAAGAGCATGGACAATGAAATGGTAACTGGCATGGCAAAAATTAGGGCTACCTTTTGGGGGGTTTGGATTCTAGCGCTTTGGGGTCTATATTGGGTTCTCCCCTATTTTGGGAAACTCCCAGATCGATAACAATGACAAGCTTGGGCGTCGAAAAGGGCAGTCGCACGTGTTGATGTCGGTGTTGGTCAAAGTTGCTCTCCCTGAACTTGGAGGCCCCTTTGAGCTCTGGACAATCAGTGCTGTTTGGTGGATGGAAAATCCTGAGGGCACAGCAGTGGAGCTGGCAACGGAACGGAAGCCCATGGCCACGCTCTTTTTTCACAACTTGCAAGCAACTTAACTCGATCTGAAAGAAGCGGTGCACATCCAGAACAACTTCCGCTGAGGTGCTTCTTTTACTCTGCGCGCCCTTTTTGTAGTGACATGGGCGTTCACTCGATCACCCAGTAGTTTCTTGTGTTCGATTCACAGCGAAACGGGCCAATGCCATGACCTCCATCCGAGCCTTGAAGGCTCTTTCAACTTTGCCTGACGTGCATGGTTTGGCAATGCCGAGAGCTCTGTGCCATTTTTCCAAGCCTCCCTTTAGCCTGCATAAACGCCAGCAACAAGTTTGCCCAGTTCTCCTGTGTCAAAACGGGTTTGCGCGTATGAGCTTAGCAGGTGTGACCCCAGTTCATGATCTAGACTTTACTTGGCAGGCTGTAGTTACGCATGAATAACAATGTCACATGCTTGCAATGATTTAGATGTGGCTTTCCTGCTTTGGCAAGGCAAGATCGTTGCTCTGTCGGGTCGTGATGTCTGAATGCTCAGAAGCTCCCAGACCATCACTCTCGGCCTTGCCTTTCGTGGAGTCAAAATCGCAGTCTCGAAGCAAAGGGTCAAGGAAGGCAGAACTGGGGTATTTCCTTGCAGCTGACAGAAGCACATGAGCGGCTTGCTTATGTGAAGGTTTCCCAAAATTAGGGGTACCATTATGGGGGTCCCCATAAATAGTATTTTGGGGTCTATATTGGGGTTCCCTTATTTTGGAAAACTACCATATCCGAACGCCAGCCAGAGCCATTTTGGTTCTTGGTTCCTTCTGTACCATCCTCAGAGAGCGTGGCTTGGCAGCAGAAGTCCGGACACTCACTGCTCTACCTGGTCTACTTTAGGGTTTAGGGTTTAGGGCAGTTTAATTGGCATCCATTTGTCCTCTTGTGTGAGCTGAGGAATCTCGTGGAACTGCCACTGTTATGAAACTCAGGGCAGAAACCAATTTCCTGCTGCAGAAGCAGGTAAAGCAGGCAGCCACGATGCATGCTCCAATGCTCTTACTCTTGCTTTTACTCTTACTATCACTACTATGATTACTACCACTATTATTATTATTATCGTTATATATTTATTACCAATATCATTGTAATTAGTATTATTTTTATTGGTTTATTATCATTACTGTGCCGCTGCTTTCCTCCAGGCTGTGGGGCCACTAGAAACGATAGGGACGGCCCTCCTTTCCACATTTGCACGGACCTCAGGCTGTGAAAGCACAAATCAATGGGGGTACAAAAATCACGTGTCTTTGAGTGAGCTGGTGCATGCTAAGATGGCCTTCATTTTTAGATCCAGTGGTGTTTTAGCAGAAATTTCAGGCCTTCGGTGCCGCATTTTGGTGCCTTGGTGGTACCATTCGAGCATCCACACCGGCAGCTGCGCTGTTCCTTGGCTGCAGAGATTTTGGAATCTCGCCCCCGACCACCAATAGGTCACCGAGAGACCAAGAGCTCCGTGCCAAACCCTAAGCCTAAACCTTGATGTTGCAGGCTGGCTCCTGCGCTGTTGGCCTGGCTCCCACGTTTTGGGTTGAGGGATTCTGCTTTCGCTGTGCAGCTGCAGTTTTCCGCTTTCCTGCTGCATGTCATCCATGGCTGCCATGTTTGCTGAACGTTTATCGTAGTTCCTGGCCAGCTGGTTGATGCTGGGTTGATCACTCTCTCTGGTGTTGCTTGTTGGACGTACGATCTTCTGCGGAGACTATATTGTCTATATTAGTGCAGAGAGAACTTCTGCATGGCTGAATGCATGCATGTCATGTTAGTACTGCTGATTTTTTGCGTGGTTGCTGCAACATATGAGCACCACCAGTACTAGCACTGCTTAACGCAACAGCGTTTTATGATGTTGACCTCTATGGACATTTCGATGCTGTTGGCACGTGGGTTTTTGGGACGTACAGTCCGAGATCATCCAGCTTGCATTAGCAGGGTCTAAAACAAGGCGGTTCCCGAAATAAACCTCACGTGCATTTGGTATGCAGGACGACCCCTAACAACAAGAGGCTTAAAGTAATCTAGCATTTGCTGGTGTTTTCAGCTGTGTTGACGATTTTGCTTGCGACCTTCTCTGGGGGATACATGCTTGGCATTGCGACCTGTTGAAAAATCAGGCTACTACTAACCCAAAGTTTCAGATTCCACTTAAGCTGCTGAGAAACAAGGAACATATCAGCACTGTACTCCAGAAACCAACCGGAGTGTGCATCTACAGCCAATTGTGTAGCCTATGGCGGTAAGGTTCTTACCGTCAATATAATTATAAATATAGATATGAACGAAGGGACCGCGTGGATTGGGCTCAAA